ATGACCCCAGCTCTGGGGTTATCTTACCTGCATTTGTTCTTATCTGGAACCCTGGAGGCAGCTCAGGCCATATGCCTGCACGCTACCTCCATCCTCATTCCTGAGGCCAGGTCAGATGCTTGGCCCCAGCAGATTCCTGCTGTATCATCCCTGGTGGCAGCTATGAAGGGTGTGACCAGGTACTGGCGCTGAGGGACAAGACCAGGAGTCATGGACCTCCCTGCAGGGCTCAGGATGGACTGTGCCCTGGGTCCTCTCTGTGGCCAATGTTCTTGCCCTCTGCCCCTCTCTGTGAGCCACTTGTGGGAACTTGTCAGGCTGAATCCTGGACGTGTCTTTGACCCTCATATTGGGGTATGAATCTCAAGAGAAGGCTTTTCTAACTCCACTGACTATATATGTACTGTTTTTCATGTAGTCTGTGTCTCATATTATACTTTTATTTCTATTTTTTAATAATATATTTTATTGATTTTTTTACAGAGAGGAAGGGAGAGGGATAGAGAGTTAGAAACATCAATGAGGGAGAAACATCCATCAGCTGCCTCCTGCACACCTCCTACTGCGGATGTGCCCGCAACCAAGGTACATGCCCTGGACGGGAATTGAACCCGGGACCCTTGAATCCACAGGCCGACGTTCTATCCACTGAGCCAAACCGGTTAGGGCAATATATTTTTGTTTCTATACATACTATATATGTGTGTGTGTAACAAAAAGTACTGAACATTATCTAATTGGAACCTTTTATTCTGTACATCTATAGAATATCTGAAACAATTGTTCTTTGTACATTTAGATCATTTCTCCTTGCTTTTATACGTGTTGTATAATGTTCTAACTATAGTGTTATTCTGACGTATGCCCTCTGTTTCACATTGAAGTACATTTGAATTTCTTTCATTATCATGGTGACGGAATGCATTTCTTTGTATTTTCATCTTGGCTCATCATGTTCATCCCACTAAGCATATGCTATGGGCCAGAATGTTTTCTGGCCTCTCGGGAGACACCCACCCCATCAACAAAAACAGAACAATTCCTTTAAAGAGGCTCTCTCTCTCATTCCAGCAGGTGGAGACCTTGAGTAAAGAAACAAAAACTTCACATTTGGCCAAAACCGGTTTGGCTCAGTGGATAGAGCGTCAGCCTACAGTCTGAGAGGTCCCAGGTTCGATTCCGGTCAAGAGCATGTACATTGGTTGCGGGCACATCCCCAGTGGGGGGTATGCAGGAGGCAGCTGATCGATGTTCCTCTCTCATCGATGTTTCTAACTCTCTATCCCTCTCCCTTCCTCTCTGTAAAAAAATCAATAAAATATATATTTTTTTAAAAAAACTTCACATTTGTGGGTTTTTTTACGTGGCAGTAAGTGCTATGGGGGGAGATAAACCCAGAGGAGGACTAGGGAATTGTCTGTTCCCTTTGATCTCAGCAACCCCTGCAGCTATAATATTGGGAAAGGTGGTTGGAAAGACTCCAGGGGAAGAGGACATTTGGATAAAATCTTGTAGGAGCCGAAACCAGTTTGGCTCAGTTGGATAGAGCATCGGCCTCTATCCACTGAAGGGTCCCAGGATAGATTCCAGTCAAGGGCATGTACCCTGGTTGCGGGCACATCCCCAGTGGGGGAGGGGGTGGTGCAGGAGGCAGCTGGTCGATGTTTCTCTCTCATTGATGTTTCTAACTATCTCTCCCTTCCTCTATGTAAAAAAATCAATACAATATATTAAAAAACAAACAAACAAACAAAAAAACGATGAGGATAGGAAGGATCTAGACAATGTTGGCCAGAGGGGAATTCTGGGAGATAAACTGGATGGAAAGACAATTGGGAGGGGTGAGTCTGAAGCTGGAGAAGATCCAGGATGTGAAGTGTGATTGCCCGGGGAGTCCAGGATGCTGGGTGTCTGGGACCTTCCCGGGCTCTGAGTCCCAGGGGACACCTTCTTTCCTCTCCTCCCTTTCAGACCCCACCACCCCTAATCCTTGGGAGCAGGTGCCCATCTATCTGGGTTCCCACCACATTGCCCTCTCCCACCCCAGAGCTGGGAAGCTCACGTGTGACAGGCCCTTGTAGGACCTTGGTGTCCTGTGTACGTGGCCGGCCCCTCCTTCCTGCATACCTCCCCCCTACCTTCTGCTTTGTCACTGGGGAGATGCTCAGAACCACTCTCACATCCCTTCGCACACTTGGTTAAGTAGGCATTTCTCTCCTCCTTCCCTCATTCCTTTCTTTCTTCTTCCTCTTTTTCTTTTTCAAATCTATTTTATTGATTTTTTTTTTTTTTTACAGAGAGGGAGAGTTAGAAACATCAATGATGAGAGAGAAACACCAATCAGCTGCCTCCTGTACACCCCCTACTGGAGATGTGCCCACAACCAAGGTACATAGATGCCCTTGACCGGAATCAAACCTGGGACCCTTGAGTCCGCAGGCCAACGCTCCATCCATTGAGCCAAACCGGCTAGGGCCAAGTGATGTTTTTTGGATGTTGTATACTTGAAGCCTGTATGGTTTTGTGAACCAATGCCACCCACAATAAATTCAATTTTTTTAATAAAAAAAAGAAAAAGAAAATGCTAAAGTCCAGTATGATTTTATATAATTGATGCTTTATTTCTGTGAATTTCCCGTTCAGGGCCTAGTAAGCGAGAGATGGGCATGGGGAGTGATTAGGAATGACTTCTTATGGTGTCCTCTATCCACTCGACGAATCCGCATACTGCGGTGAAGACGACCGGGTTCAGGGATGGAGTCGAAGGCCCCCGGGACACGAGGCCTCGCAGGGCGCCGTTGCACACCAGTGGTCCCCCGGAGTCCCCCTGGGCCAGAGAGAGAGAGGATTCGTTTTTTTGGCTTCAGAGCAACCAGAACCCCCTGGTGATGGGGTCTTGGTTCTACCACAGACTTTCACCCTGACCAATGGGAGGAGACTCCTTGTCTCTGTGGACCAATGGGAGAGCAGGCATGCATGGAGCCCCAGCCAAGGGGACCCATCACAGGGAGGGGGCGGGGCTTCCTAGAAGTCAGAGCTCCATCTGTTTTCCATCCTCAGTGACTCTTTGCCAAGCCAGCCAGGGAGGGGAGCTTTATCTCCAGAAACCTGTACACTTCCTCACCCAGGAGTGTGTGTGGGGGGGGGGGGGGGAGAGAAATGGGGAGGTAGTCCTGGAAACCAGGGGCAAGAGCAGTGATCTAATTCACAGGGTCCAGTGCAAAATGAAGATGCTAACCCCCACTTTCAAATGCATGAGTTTCAAGACAGCAAGGGGAGTGCGTTAGGGCAAGCGTGGGATTGTCCTGGGTGTGGGGCGGGGCTCTGTGTCCCAGAACATCTTGCACATTCATGAATCAGGCCCTCACTGTGGGACATGGGGGAAACGCCCTTACTGTTCTTTAGAACACACAGTCCTGTACCATCACCCCCCCCCTCTCTCTCTCTCTCTCTCTCTCTCTCTCTCTCTCTCTCTCTCTCTCTCTCTGTGTGTGTGTGTGTGTGTGTGTGTTTCCAATCCTCATCCTAGAATATGTTTGTACTGATTTGAGAGAGAGAGGAAGGGAGAGAGAGAAACATCGATATGAGAGAAACACATTGATCATTTGCCTCCTACACGTGCTCTGGCTGGGGATGAGACCCTCAACCTTTTGCTGAGCTAGAAAATGCTCCGACCAGCTGAGGCACCCGCCCAGGGCCACGCCCCTCTTCAAACATGTTCCATCCCCCTGCTGTTGAAAGCTGAGAGTGCAGACATGAGCAGAGGGATTGGGGATGGGGAGAGAAACAGAGAGAGGTAGAGAATAGCCTAGAGAGAAGAAAGGGGAGGAGGAAGGGGACAGAGAGGCAGAAACGTTGTGGACGCAGAAAGAGGCAGAGATAGAGAAAGTAAGATGACAGTGGCAGAACACTGAGAGAGGGAGAGGGACAGGGAGGACAGAGAGAGAGAGAGGTTGAGAGAGAGAGAGAGGGAGAGAAATGAAATGAGATGTAAAGAGAGGCAAGGGGCCCTAACCAGTTTGGCTCAGTGGATAGAGCGTCGGCCTGCAGACTGAAGGGTCCCAGGTTTGATTCCGGTCAGGGGCATGCACCTTGGTTGTGGGCACATCCCCAGTAGAGGGTGTGCAAGAGGCAGCTGATCAATGTTTCCCTCTCATCTATGTTTCTAGCTCTCTATCCCTCTCCCTCCTCTCTGTAAAAAAAAAAAAAAAAATCAATAAAATATATTTAAAAAGAGAGAGAGAGAGATGAGGGGAGGTGATTCTGAGGCAGAGAGGAGGATACACACACACACACACACACACACACACACACACACACACACTGAGTGGCCAGATTATTATGGTCTGGCCATTCAGTATATATATGTATATATTAGGGCCCAGTGCATGAATTTGTACATGGGTGGGGTCCGGCCAGCCTGGCCAGAGGGAGGGGACATGGATGGTTGGCCGGCCCGCCTGCTAGTCAAACTCCTGATTGAGGGGACAATTTGTATATTACTCTTTTATTATATAGGATATATACTGAGTGGCCAGATTATCATGCATTCAGAGATCATAATAATCTGGTCACTCAGTATATATATACTGTATATATTATAATTCTTTTTTTAATATTGTTATTGATTTAAGAGAGGAAGGGAGAAGGCTAGAGAGATAGAAACATCAACAATGAGAGAGAATCATTAATTGCTGCCTCCTGCATGCCCCCTACTGGGGGGGATGGAGCCCACAACCCAGGCATATGCCTTGGCCAGAATAGAACCTGTGACCTTTTAGTCTGCAAGCCAAGGCTCTATTCACTGAGCCAAGTTGGCTAGGGCAATAAAAAAAAAATTTTTTTTTAAAGAAGAAGGAAAGTGGGGCATGTGGGGGTGCGAGGGAGAACCCAGCATGAGGGTCAGCCCCCCCCCCCCCACCACCGATTCTGGATGGTGGGAAGTCGGGTCTCTGTGCTGAGAGGGAGCAGGGCCAGGATAGGGCGGGGCTTGCTCTCACCAAGTGGGCGTTGGTGTTGCTGTTGTGGGTGCCTGCACAGAACATGTAGGGTCTCCTCAGGTACAGGAAGTGCCTCCTGCAGTCCTCCAGGCGGATGACGGTGATGTTTGTGCACATGAGCTCCGACGGATAGGTCTCTGGAGCAGGAGAGAGGGCACAGTCAGAGGCCTGGCCTGCTAATGGGACCCTGAGAGAGGAGGATCGGAGGGACTCAATGCCATGGCTGTGAAAAGGACTTCGTCTTCTGACTCTAGGTCCAAGGAAGGAAGGACCTTGCGTCTGAACTCCTGGGTTTGAAGAAGGAGAAGGAGGAGGAGAAAAAGGAGGAAGAAGAGGAGGAGAAAGAGAAAGAGGAGGAAGAGGAGGAGGAGGAGGAGGAAGAAGAAGAAAAAGGAGGAGGAGAAAAAGAAGGAGGAGGGGGAAGAAGAAAGAAGGGGGAGGAAAAAAGGATTGGGAGGAGAAGAGAGGAGGGAGGGGAAGGGAGGAAGGGGAGAAGAGGAGGGGGAGAAAAAGAGGGGTAGAAGGGGAGGAAGGGGAGGAAGGGGAGGAGGGGGAGAGGAGGGGAGGAAGGGGAGGAGGGGAGGAGGAGTAAAGAGAAGAAGAAGGAGGAGGAGGAGGAAGAGAAGGAAGAAGAAGAGGAGGAGGAGGAGAGGAGGAGGAGGAGGAGGAGGAAGAAGGAGGAGGAAAAGAAAGAAGAAGGAGGAGGAGGAGGGAGAGGGGGAGGAAGAGAGGAGGGGGAGGAGGAAAGGAGCGGGAGGAGGGGAGGAAGGGGAGGAGGGGAGGAGAGGGAGGAGGGGAGGAGGAGTAAAGAGAAGAAGGAGGAGGAGAAGGAGGAGGAAGAAGAAGGAAGAGGAGAAGAAAGAAGGAGGAGGAGGAGGAGGAGAAGAAGAAGAAGGGGGGTCGATGATCCTGGCTTTGAGGAAGAAGGGTGCTGGGCGTCAGGGTCCTTAGTCTGAGGAATGAAGGTGGCTGGGGGTCTCAGCTCTTCTGTCAGATGGCGAAGGCAGCTTGGGGCCTGGACACTTGGGTCTGCAGGCGGCGGTACTCCCCTGTCTGAGGGAGAACAGGCTAGAACCCGGACACACCTAGGCCTCTGGAGACCCAACTGTGGGACAGAAGTCTATGGTCAGAGTGAGGAGGTCACTGAGAGCCTGAACTCCTGGGAGGATGGGGTGGAAGCCTGGGGGGCTTGGCTTCCAGATCGAGGGGAGAAGGCGCCAGCAGCCAGGGTGCCTGGATCTGAGGGAGGAGGACGCTGGGGCCTCGGGGCTCGGTTCTGTGAAGGAGAGGGCTTGGGGCCTGGAGGACTGAGTCTCAGGTAGGGGAGGGGGGCTGGATTCCAGGTCCCTGGCCATGACAGAGGACAGGGTTGGGGGTCTAGACGCCTTAGTCTATGGGAGGAGGGTCAGGAGGCCTCCCGTGTCTGAGGGAGGAGAACACCGGGGCCAGGGCTGCGGGAACCCGGGCAGGTTGTCTCACCGAAAGGGGGGCCGGTGATGCTGCCCCAGCCAGAAACCTCGCACGTGGTCCCAGGTCTCACGCATTCGGAAGAAATGGCCATGGTCCTCACGGTCGGGGACAGCGTGGCCGGGCGGCTCAGCTTCACCAGCATGATGTCATTCAGTTTTTTGGCGTCGTTATACTGGGGGTGGACGAAGGACTCCGTGGCCCGGATCACCTGGGCTTTGGGGTCGTTCAACACATGGCTGCCCACCTGCACGTTGTAGGCGCTGGGACCAGAGAGAGACAGGCCGTGACCCAGAGGGGAATGGGGAGGGGGGCAGCCCCAGGAAGACAGGGACACACAGAGACGTAGAGAGAGACCCAACGTGAAAGGGAGACAGAGACCCAGATCATGTGTGTTTGTGTGTGTGGGGGGAGGGGGGGGAGACACGGGGACAGGGGCAGGGGCCCAGGAGGAGGAGGAGACACAGACGGAGGGAGAAGCAGGAACAGAGACGCAGAAGGAGAGACGTGATCCCCGGGCCCCCCAGGCACCTACAGTTGTCGGCAGTGGCCCACGGTGAGCACCCACTGCGGGTGGATCAGCACGCCTGCACACTGCGTGTCCCTGCCCCGCATCAGGGCCACCTCCCACGGGTGGGAGCCTCGTGGACATGCAGCTCCATTGATAATCCTTTCCCCGTTGCCGTGGGCTGGATGGAGACAGGGAGAAAGCATGGCTAGCAGGCATCAGGGGATGGATGGCCAGAGACATTGATGGAGACAGAAAGACAGACAGACAGCTGCATGGAGAAGGGCAGAGGCAGGCATTGAGCACAGGGCAGAGACAGCTGCAGATGGAGATGGAGATGGAGATAGAGATGGAGAGCTACGGGGGAAGCCTGCTCAGAAACCCAGGGCAGCCGCTGGTCTGGAGGCAACCCCAGCTTCTGATGAGAGAGACACGGAGGGTGGGGAGCAGCCTGGAGGGCATCCAGAGCCCAGGGGTCAAGAGGGAGCAGGAAGGTAGGGGCCACCACACAGGGGTCGAGTCTCCATGGAAGGAGGCTGCTTCAGGGGAGGGTCCTGACTCGGGGGCTCCTTGGAGAAGAGGGGGCTCTGGAGAGGTAAATGGGGGACTGTGATGCTGGTGGCAAGGTCAGGACTCCCAGGCTGGTCCTCACCTGCTTGTGCAGCAGATCCCAGGGCGAAGGACAGCAGTAGGAGCAGCAGGGGCTGGAGCAGGGGACCTGCCATGTGTCCTGTCTGAGCCTCTGTGGCTGCCACAGAGAAAGGGACTCTTCTGCTGGGGCTGGAGAGACAGAGTTCAGGAAGCAGGGTGGGGAACGCCCACTGCTCATGGGTCAGCATCCCTGGCCCTTAACCCCTTCCCTCCTCAGACCCAGGAGTCCTAGCCTGTGCCCAAGTCCTCCCTCAGATCAGGAGCCCAGTGCAAAAAAAAAAAAAAAAGTCCCCTTCCTCACACTCAGATGTCCAGACCTCACACACCCTAGCTCTCAGAACCCCGGGGATTCTGGCTTTCCATCCCTCCACACCCATAATTCAGCATCTCCAATTCCTTTTAGGTGGGAAGATTTTAAAAAATAAATAAATTTTAACCTCCAGTCCCTCATCGACCCGTGACCACCAGGAGTTCAGGCTTCTGCTCCTCTCTCTGTAGGAGCAGGAGTCAGCTGCCGGCCCAGGCTCCCCTGCCCTGCCCCACAGGAGATGCCTCCTCACCTGCCACCTGCAGTCCGTCTGTCCAAGCTGGGCTCAGGCTGTGCTGGGAACCAACCGCATCCACTTCGGTGCAGGGTGGCTCTTTTATAACACACCAGTTCCCCCACAACCCCACCCCACCCCCATCCCGTCCCCTCCCCCCACCCTGCCCCCATCCGCAGGGTCCTAGTGCGCAGGTGCACTCACCTCAGAGATGCCCCTACCCGCATCTGCCCTTATCTGAAACTGCCCTTATCTGGCACTCGACCTCCGCCTGCACTGCCGACCCCCACTCTACCTACACCATTAGTCGCCTAGTTTAGGGTTGGCCCAGCACCTTCTGGCTCCACCATTCCTAGTGGCAGCTCCCAGGAGCTGGCCCTGAGGGGACAGAAGAGCTGGGATCAAGGACCTGCACTGCTCACAATTGGAATTCGCCCTGGGGTCACTTCTGTGGTCAATTTTCTTGCCTTTCACCCTCCCCACGCCTGTCTCAAGGGTGGCCTGGACCTTACACCCTAACTCTAAGCAGCCGGTGGGAAGTTTCCCAGGTTGAATCCTAGACGTGTCTTTGCATCTGAACCAAGAAACGAACCCTTATATAAGGGTATTAATAAAATGGAGAAGGTTTCCGCCCCCCCCCCCAACTTCACTCATGAAATGCTTGCTGTTATCTCTGACTCTGTCTCATATTACATGTAGATTTCTACACATACTCTGTCTCTGTAACAGAAACAAACAAAACAAAAAATGACTGTGGTAAGTGTTCTCTCTCTCTTTTTTTTTAATATATTTTATTGATTTTTTACAGAGAGGAAGGGAGAGAGATAGAGAGCTAGAAACATCGATGAGAGAGAAACATTGACCAGCTGCCTCTTGCACACCCCCTACCGGGGATGTGCCCGCAACCACCGTACATGCCCCTGACCGGAATCGAACCCGGGACCCTCTATCCACTGAGCCAAACCAGGTAGGGCGAGATAGGGTCTTTGATGAGGTTGCTGAGCTGGTGAATGAATGCTCCATGGAGCCCCTTCATCTCATATCATATTCAGGTTTCCCTCTGGTTTGAAGGATTGTTTTGTTTTTTTAACAATATTTTTTTATTGATTTCAGAGAGGAGGGAGATGAAGAGAAAAATAAAAACAGTGATGAGAGAGAATCATTGATCAGCTGCCTCCTTCCTGCATGCCTCTGGGGATTGAGCCCATAACCTAGGCATGTGCCCTGACTGGAATCCAACTGTGACCTCCTGGGTCATAGGTCAATGCTCAGTCACAGAGCCACACTGGGCGAGCTGACATGAAGGGGTTATGTTTGTTTGTTTGTTTCTACAACCAAAATCTTTCTTATTTGGGGCTCAATGTTTACTCCAAGTCTCGGGTTAGATGCCAAATCCAATCCCAAACTATGAATGTCAATTTAATTCAAATTAGAATCCCTATGTGGAATTCAAATTAACCAACAAACCTAACTCTAATTCCTGTGGTAGCTCTTCCTCCAGCCCTTTCCCTACAACCTCTTTCAGACTCAATCATTTATACACTTAGAAAATACATAGAGAGACCAGCCATATACCAGGAGGGGCTGGGTGCTGAGGATGTAGTGGTGCTCAGTCCTGGACACAAAGAATTCCTTCCTTGAAGGAACTAACAGCCAAGTTAGTAAAAGGAAAAATAATCAATTCACTGATATGCAAAGGTAAATGTATAACTTTAATGTGTGCTCTGAAGTAAATGTGCAAAGGATTGTGAAAGCACTTCTGGGGGGTTTTGAACAGGAAGTAACAAATAGTGTGGATAGAACAATAATCATAAACTAGAAAAAAATGTAAAGAATTTGCAGGGCACCGTGTAGAGAAAACAGCAGGTGCAAAGGTCTGAGATGGAGGGCGAGCATGGACGAAGCTCAGAGATCAGAGGTTGTACGGAACCAGGGAATGAAGGACCTTGTAGGTCCTGGTGAGTTGGACTTTGTGTGGTGGGCGATGATGGACAACGAGGACTTGGTTCAGAGGAGTCACATATAACATTGGTCTTTTCAAAATGTCAATCTATGAAGGAAGATAAGAAGTGGATGTGGAGTCAGAAAGGGACCATTGCTATTTTAAAAATGAGAGATGGTGGGGACTAAGATAGGACCATTTGGGAGAGGGAGATGGTAATAAGAATTCATAAGTAGATGAATTCAAGATGCATTCAGGAAGGAAAGTCAACAGGCCACTGTGATGTTTTGAATGGACGTTGTGGTTGTTGTGGAGCAAACACGAGTGAAGGACCACTGGGGTCCAGACCAAATTAAAATTTGGGGAGCCTTTATTAGCCGGCCAGCAACTGCTCTGCCTTTCTCCATGCAGGGAATACAGAGAATAGCCCTGACCCTTTGTGTGGGACCGCTTTTAAGCACATTAACCACATCCTATTTTGCAGGGCAAGCAACCCAAGACAAAACAGTTTTCTCCAATCAATGTCAGAGTCATGCCATTGACAACAATGTTGTTCACAGGGTCATCTTGTTCTTCAGAGAACTGACAGTGGTCTATGAGACAGTGCCTACATGCTGGGAAGGGGCCATGAGACCTTATCTCAAGGCCTGGCTTGGTGTATGCACGGACAACTCTATCTGGGGCACAGTCCATGTCCTCTCTGGAAACGTGCTAAAAAATTCCCACTCTGCAACAGTGATGAGAAAGTTGGAGATGTTAGGGCTTCAAGGTCTCCTGCTTGGTGAACATGGCGCCATTTCCTGGCCAGATCTGATCAAGAGCTCATGAGAGGGTGAGAAACAACGCAGTCCCTGGTTTCAACCATAATTCCAAGTTTAGTCTTTACTTAGAAACAACTCTCAACTCCATTTTTTACACAAGCTAGAGTCTTAACCTGCAGCCTCAATGGTACTCATCCCTAACCCTCAGTATTTCTTTATCGTTGACCAAGTCCAATTTACACCTCAACATGGCACCTTCTTCCTGACCAAGCTCCTGATTCCAAAGGTCAACGCACGCTCCATCGCTCACATCAAGCAACTTGAGTATGACTCTTGAACTTGAACCCTGAACCCCTGAACATAAGTCAGACTCAACCTTGACCCAAGCACTAGGTGTCACCATTGTGTCAATTCCAAACCTGATCTCCGGCACAACTCGGACCTTAGCCAGCACTCCCTCACGTTCCAGGAAGTCCACACGGACATCCTTCCAGTAGAATCATCTCCAATTTACATTGGACACCAACCCTAAATCTCTGGCCCAGATTCCAGACCTGTTCTCACTGCAAACTCAATTTCCACCTGATATCTCCACATCATTCTCATACCCAGCTCTTACCCGCCCCCAACGGTTCATCGCCTCCATATGCTACTTCCTCAAAACTCTAACATAAAGTCTACAGGCTAACAGCATCCTCACGTTGATCCGATACTGACTAAATAAAGCCAAGCTAAGTTTTCCAGACCTACCTCTGAAGACCTTCCTAGCCTCTTAGGTCAGCGGTCGGCAAACTCATTAGTCAACAGAGTCAAATATCAATCAATAGTACAACGATTGAAATTGCTTTTGAGAGCCATTAAAAAAAAAAAAAACTTAAACTATATAGTCTGTACATTGTTATTCAACGTAATTAGGGTACTCCTCAGCTGGCCTTTGCTGAAAACTCAAGGAGCCCAAGAGGTGTATGTGGCTCGTGAGCCACGGTTTCCCGACCACTGTCTTAGGTGAACCCATTCCTTCTGTTCTTCCTCCAGCTTGAATGGGGCTCTGACACCTGTACCCAAGAGCTCCCTGACTGAGGCAGAGGTGAGGTCCCTGTGTACGTGGGTCCGTCCAGCTTTCTTTCACACCTTGTGCTATGAGCCTCTGCCTGACTCCACAAGTTCTCCTTCACCTTGGATAAGCCATTTTCTTTTTTCTTTTTACATCTGCCATGCTAATTTTCAACATTAGAAATTAATCTCTCTGTGTACAGACACAAGAACAGGATGTCCGGGTGTCCTGCGAGAAATCCTGACCAATAATAGAAGAGGATGGAGTTGTGTTGGGGCTGGGGTGTCTCTGAAGGAGCACAGAGGCACACGGATCCATTCCCTGCCCCGTGGGAAGGGAACATTGCTCTTCCGGGAATCCAGTCATAAGCGTGGACAGCTGTGCTGTTAACGGTCTACCTTCAGTATTATGTTGTTTTCATTTCTGGTGTCCCTTTTGTTTTGAATCACAACTCAAATAATGATATCTTAAAGACAAGTTTATATCGTACTTAATTGCTGGCAACCAAGATCAACAGTGATTAATATAAATTCGAGGAGTCCACCAGAAGGCTGGGTTTTGACACCCCTTTGATATTCGCTTGGCTCCGTGGTTGAGCGTAGACTCCTGATCATGGCATATGCCTGGGGGTTGCAGGCTTCATCCCCAGTGTGGGGCATGCAGGAGGCAGCCAGTCATTGATTCCCTCTCATCATGAATGAATGATGAATATCTACATTTTACTAACTACTCCTGGCACAATGGCCCAAGGCAAACTCCCCCAAACCTGACTGTT